AATGATGAAATCACCTAACAACACATTTCTGAGAACAAACCCCACGTTTAAACAGCACCTGACTGCAAATGGAATAGATACAGAGTTCTTCTCATTTATCCTACTATAGGTTCAGTCAGCATCTTGGATCTGTGATATTTATGCCTCTTCTCATTTTGCTAGACACTATTCCTTTGAGTACATTTTCCTTTCCTTCAAAGACTCCAAAGATAAAAAAAATTACATATTTTGATATAGTCCCTGAGGACTTTGATAGCCAGTTAGTTTTCTCTCTGCTGTTTTGACAGATCAGTTTTTATAGTTCTATCTTCAAGTTTGCTGGTTTTATCAGTTGTCTCTCCCATTGTGCTCCTGAACTTAAGTTTTTAATTTTGTTTACTGCATCTTCGCAATTCTAAATTCCCTGACACTAAATTTTCTCATTGGTTTCAACTATGTTTGGGATCTCTTGCTTACCTATTCCTAAAATGGCTGATTTAAAACATCAGATAATTACAACATCTCTCAGTTGAGTATCTGTGCCTACTGCCATACTGTGTTTCTACAATACTCAGACACAATAGAGCATTCTGTCTGTTTCAGTCAAAATGAAATTTCCCTGTTGATTTTCTAATTGAAATCTGAACATTCTGAAGGATTTTTATGTGATTCTGGACCTATTTAAATCTTCTCGCTTAGCTGGTTTATTCGGACACTGTTTAAGCTGCATAAAAGATTCCTGCCTCATTACTGTCAGTGGGAGTACAGGTCCAGATTTCCCACTTGACCTGTGTTGATACCTGAGGTGAGGGAGGGTTACTTATTACTTGCTGGCAAAGATAGGGATTCTGGCTGGTCAGTAGGGCTCTGGTAATATTATTTGGGCTGTGAGGTACAGCAGTGTCTCATTAACTAATCCCCTTATTAGCTCCAATGACACCACAGGTGTCCAGTCTCAGCAAGGCTCCTTTCACATCACTCCAACGGGGGAAAAAAAGTAGGATTTCTTTTCTATCAGATGGGAGGAGAAGGCCATTGTATCAGAGTGGTTTTTATTACTATGAATACGGGAAAAAGACATGGAAGTGAGTTCTGTTACTGACCGGCAGATATTAAATTCCTAACTCCTTATTCAGTCTAATTTGAACACATCCTGGTTGAGTGGGAAGGGGACTTATAGAGTGTATAGCCATGTTATGACATAAGAAAGGTACTAAGTCTAGGTTCCCCATTCAGTCTCAGTTAAATGTTGGGGTAGAAATTACAGTCTTTCTGTGGTGGTTACTAAGTTTTCTGCCTTGCTAGGCTACCATTTCCTGGTCTTTTGTCTAGAGAAAGGCTTTTTAGTCCGTACCTTTTTGTGTTTTCAGGCTGCTGGCTTCTTCAGCACTGAAGTTTGGGGTATGTTAGACAAAAAGAAAGCCTGGGGAACTCACCCCATATCATTCCTTAAGTACTGAAGTTCTAGTGTTTATGCCTTTTCTCCACCTTTCAGAGTCTTCTTATGCTTATTTTACATATAATGTTCAAGATTTTCAGTTGTTTTATAGAAGGAATAGGGTAATGTACATCTAACTCCATTTTCCTGAAAGCAGAAGTTCCCACTTTTTGAACTGTTTCCTACTATGTCCAACCCTACAAATTCCCTACAAAAAATAAGGGTAGATTCTATGGGAGGTATTTTTCTTTATGTGAAGCTTACATATTTGAACAAATTTATACTATTTCACCGTCCAAATGTATGGCTGAGTCAGCTATTTAAGAATATCCAAATCACCTGTTAAATAAGGACAGGACTAATGATATGAACTTGTGTATGCTAAACATTTGAAACACTTATCTCATAAATCCTTACGAACTTAACAATTTACCATTCAAAACTTTAAAATAATCATTAAACCATTTTTAGGGAACAAAGAGTCTTACATAATCTAACCTTTCCAAAGACACTATATGGAATCAAATAACTAAACTCAATTTCACATCATACAACAAACTTTTTCAGAACAGATTATTAAATGCACTAATCTAATAATATTCTAATAGAAATGGCAATTCAATAAATATATGACAAAAGATAACCATGTTTAAAAGTGCACTACTAAATAGAATGGAACTTCCCTAGTTATTGTCAAACACAGAAGGCTAGATCATTTTTGATTTATGAAATATGCCATATTTCATCAATAAAAACTTTATTTCCAAATTTTCTGTATCATTTGAATGTATTTAGAATAATCTCCTTGCCATAATACATTCTCAAATGTGCCTGCAAATAGCAAATTCAGTGCATGAATTTATAGATTGATTTTGTACATGTAATTCTAATATCTAAAAGGTTCTAATTACCTTTATAATTTCATTAAGAAGTTAAAATCTAAAATTCCCATGTTATTTTGTTTACTAAGAACAGAATTTTTATAAAACTCTTATAATGTACCAGTTGCTATCATTTTTCAGGATTAGTAGCAAAATATGTAAAACAACATTCCAAAAATGGAAATGTTAATATAACACAACAGAAATACTACTTAAGTAACCTTATCTAATGCAGAACTTCCCAAAATAGGCTTCTCAGAATCCTAAGAAACATTAATAAATGTCCCTCAGAAAAAAATGCTAGGTTAAATATAATTAAACAAATTTCTTCTTTACTTGAAAAATCCTTAGGAAATTTAAAATAAAGTGTACTGTGAACTTTCCAAAGAGAATTATAGTTACACATTTCCCAAATGCATTTAATACCTAACATCCATTAAATCTCACTGGAGAATAAGATTGAACTTAATCTGAGAATGACTGATTGTGGACCTTTAAATACTTAATTCTGAATTGGCTAGGTAAAAATGTGTGATCTCTACTTGATCAGAAATGTAATAGACATCATAGCTATAATAAATTAGAAATAATTTGATAAGGAAATATGATAAAAATTGTGGTAATCCCTAGCACTCATTTGAAGTCTATCAATCATACCAAAAATGAACACAAATTACAGATGTTGAAATAATTAGCTAAGCAGCATTCCATTCATTTTTTAATCTTAACTATTATTCAATTTATTCAAATTTGAAAATAAACCAATTCCAGAACCTATATTCCAGATGAAAGTTAAAGAAAAAGTAACGATAACCCTTAATAGAACCTCTCACTTAATTAATGAAAATAAGTATCAAGTGTTAACCTCACTATACACACATACCCATGTGTGTACATTGTGGTCCCCCTGCACAAAATATACAGTAAACAGAAAGTATAATCATCAGTGTTACATCTGTTGAGTGCAATGGTAAATAAAATGTTTTGTTAATGTTAGTGAATGTATGCTTATATTCAATAAGTATACAGTTATATCCAACACCAGACAGAGTTCATTTATAAAATGAGAAAAGAGTGCAAATTAAAGTTGAATTATACATAGTCTGAATGTGATTTCAAAACGCTTTTACCTATATTTTTACAATCTACAATTATACCAAATTCTTGTGAAAGCATACTGAATTAATAACATACACAATGGCAAGTAGTGCTATAAACCTAGTTTTAGATCCTGTGTGATGATTTCTGTAGATTAAGATAGGAAAGTTGTAGGTCTTGAATTCAGAAATAACAAGAAAATCACTTACCTCTACCTAAAGTTCTGTGAAGGTAGTATCCTCCTTAGAACCCCTATCTTGGGTAGTTTCACCTGCTATAATTTACCTCAAATGATTCCAGCAAAGTCTTACAAGTTTTAAGTTCCCTTCTGCAAGCCCTATTAGTGCATGTGTGTTATAAAATTGCTTATATACTGCTTCATAGCTGTAACTTCTATTTTCTACCAAAGCACCACCACTACCATTACTATCATCTGTTTATCAACAGAGAATACTACATTTAGAGAATTCCATTTGGAAATGGGACTTTTTTCATTTCTAAAAAATTATCCTCCAAGTCACTCCATTGCAGTGTCTATAATTTACTACTTAAAGTGGTAGCAGCCCTCCTTGGTGGTGCAATGGGTTAGGACGCAGCACTGAAAGGTAGTCACAGCCGCTTCAGTGCAAGTTTGATCCCTGGCCCTGGAGATGATCCACACGGCACGGCAGACCTCTCCTGACCCACCCACTACTCTCCTCAGCAGTGTACCTCATTGATATGCCTGTTCTGCTCCCCAGTCTGTCTCTTGTGAAGCTTCTCACTGCTCCTGCACCTCTGGCTTGTACCCTAGTTCTGTATGAATGAATAAATAAATCTTAAAAAAAAAAAAAAAGTGGTAGCAATTTGTCAGTTAAGTAATTGTATTTGCTGAATACTTAAAATAGAAGATTACAAAATAACAACACAAATAGAACTAGCTTCCTTAACATTTAATTAGACCCAAAATGACATCATTATGGATAACTGATGACTCTCCTTTATGTATAAGAAGTAGTTAAACACATAAATGTAAAGATAAAATTCAACAGTAAAATTTTCAAAAATGGGTAACAAAAAGACGAATAAGAAAATGCTAGGTCATCTGCCAATTGAATAGTCAGTATATAACTAGCCTAGACAACTAAGTTCGATTTTTCAAATTATCCATGTTAACGTAAAGTATTCTTTGGTTTAAATTTTAGAATAGGGATGTCCTTTTTAAAAGTATGGCCTCTGTCATAAAAATTAGAGGTTAGTTTTTCCAATTTTAGAAGTGACAGGAACAAAATAAAGTCCTCCTCCCAAAAGTACTTTCCACTGCAAACACAGTCACAAAAATAGTATTTATAAAATAAAGTGAAAGAATCTAGTCAGCTAGAAGAAAAATAAGGTACTGAGCCGTGAGGCAGTATATATGCATTCACTTTTCTGCTAATACATGCACTATTAGGACTCACTGAAGGCTCAAAAATCTTTTAGATCTTGGTAGTTAAAGTGCAGGAATAACTAACAACCCAAGAAGGTGTATCTAGGATGATACAACCTTATAACAGATAATATAACACTGTGCTATTATCTATCCTGTGAATGGATACACAAGCAGTCAGCTGAAAGGTACACACCACACTAGTAAATGCTTGGTTGGATCCATAAGGTCGGATGACCAATGGAATATCAAGATAGGTGTCAATTCTCCATCCCTCATAACCACATTCCAGACATCTCACGTAGTCCTTCAGCTTGCCTTGATAGAGTTCATTTATAAGATCAGCCTAGAAATAAGAGCATTCACATTTTAAAAAGTGTTTCTTAAGAATAATTTTTAAAATGTACAAAACACAATGATTTATCCTTTTGAGTTTCAAAGGGATAGTGATTCCTAGCGTTGAAATTTAGAAAGCTTCAAGATTTATGCAAAATTCTCTAGGAAAAAAATCAATGTTGATAACAATCAACCAAAATCATTACTATTAGATTAATATCAAAAATCAATGCAAGAAATTATTTCAATTCCATATTGTAAGACCCCAGAGTAAAGTACTTTGTTAAAATAAGTTAGCAAATTTATTATACTATTAAGCTTCATAGTATCCTTTCTTTGGGATAAGAATATATGGTAATCTATCACTTTAGACATGTTAGTTAGGTATACATAATTATGCATATGCCTATTACCATTATTAGATTCTTATTTTTAAAATTGTATTTGCTAGCCCAAGGTCCAAATAAAACGTTTAGACTTTCAGTAATATACATAAAATGTTTAGAATAAGTATAATCTTTTAATGACAGAAATTCAAAAATTTATCTTCAAAGTGCATCTTCCTCAGAGTATCTTTACCTAAAGAATGGGCCTCTCCTCTAGTTCCCAAACACAGCCAACTGCCCAAAGAAGATAGGTAACTCCCTAAATAAGGACTCTCCAAGAGAATGCCTTGCCTTCAGATTCTTGTACTAAGCCTTGGAGACATAGAAGGAATGTTCCAGCTGATCTTAATGAAAATGCTGACCCACAAAGAGGGATGTCACAAGGAGGAGGGATCATTTCAAACCTACAAATAAGAAACAGCCCCAACAACATCTACATAAAGTTACCAAAAGGCAATCCCATAGGACAAGATAGAGAAACCTTATCACTAAATGAACTTAAAACCCTTTTCAGTATCTCTTAACAAAAGATAAGAGGGAAAGCACTTCACAGTTTACTAAACCTCTTCCATAAATTTAAATATCTTCAAACTAGGATCTTCTATCACTGTCTACAGTTAGTACTACTTAGTGTAGTCTTCATTCACCTGCCCCAAATCATAATTTGTTTTCTGCACCCAAGAAGATACCTCTGAGTGGTTCAATATAGTATTTTCCAAACATTTTTGATAGTGACCCATAGTAAGAAAATAATTCACATTGCAACCAAATATATATAACTCTAACAAAAGTTTCATAATACCTTCATACAAGTCATGCTCTCTTTACACTGTAAGGGGTCATTACATTGATTTCAAAACTCATGAATGGCTTGCAATGTATGCCTGAAAAACTATTGTCAAAATCATCATAATTCTAATTAGACATCAGACCCTTCAGGTGACCTTCCAGGTGCTTCCCTCTGCCTTTTCTTTTTTTCTAAAGATTTATTTATTTATGCATACAGGCCAGAGGTACAGGGGCAGTGAGAGGATATCCTGAGACAGAGCAGGAAGCAGAATAGTAGATCGACAAAGTACACTGCTGAGGGGAGCAGAGAGCAAGACAAGACAGGAGAGGTCTGCTGCGCCATGTGGCTCATCTCCCAAGTAGAGATTGAACTTGTGCTGAAGCAGCTGAGGCTTTTCTCAGTGCTGCGCTTTAACTCCTTGAGCCACCGGGAAGGGCCCAACTTACCATTCTTTATCCCTATAATCCTCCTCCCTACGTTCAGTGTATTTTTACTGCATCCTAGGCTCCATCCAGTTTAGCCTTACCTAATTCCAATGAAATTCTTAATGTTTTCTCTCATTTCAAACCTTCCTCCTTCTATTGGGTAAGAATAGGGTCAAATAAGCAACAATTTTAAATGTAAAAAGCATATGAATATCCCTCATTGGTCAAAACAAGGGTAATCCTTGATGAATATGCATTAAATGTATTAAAGAATATCCTTATGTATCTCTGAATTGTATAAATTTTTAGATCTGAAAGGAAACTGTCTAGATCACAGAATTCAATTTCTTCTTTTAAAATGAGGAATCTAAGTTCTAGAATGGTTTAATGAAATACTTTATAATTCAGTTAAAGGCCAAGTAAAAAACCTAGAACTTTCAATTTCTCATTTAGAACTTTAACAACTGGACTAATTACCAAGACACAAAACATCCCAATAGACAACAAAAGTCACTTTAGGATAATAAGTGATTTATCAGAAAACAATTACCCCAACTTGACAGAGATGAATTACCTGTTCTGTTTGTTTCCATTTCTGCTCCAACGCATCAAACATGACTCTGCATAGTTCTTGTACATCATGCTGCTGCCAAGCTATTTTAAAGATAAAATTAATTTGAAATAGCAATATACGCAGTGTAATAAAACATTAATTTGTTCATAAACAAATTATGAAAAACATGGAAAAGTTTACACAAAATATTGTTAAACTTAAAAATAGCACAATACAGTATAATCATGACAGGCAATCAAAAGGAAGAAAATTAAAAGATGCTAGCATTTTAAAAATCCATGTTTTCTGCTTTTGCTATTTTTCACTATCAAAAGTCTAAGACCAAAAAAATTAAAGTTTTTAAGCTTAAGTATATGAAAAGTAAACTTAAAACTTTAATTAATCAAAAATTTATCTCTCAGAGCTTAAATTTTAAGAATTTAAGTAATTTTTGAATCCCAGCAAAGAGCAATAAGAAGGTTTAAGGTAAAGTTAATTCAGTTATGCGATATTTATAATACTCTGCCACAATTCCTTTGGATATTAGAAAAGCTTATCATACCCTCACTACTGTCCCATCCAAAGCTCCTTGTAACATCTGTGGTTTCAATTGCTCTCTTTTTGCTGGTTTGTAACAAAACAAAAAGCCTTTGAAGTTGAAATGGTATACTTGTCACTGGATCTTCTTCAGATTCTTCAAATTCCCACCTATTAAAATAAAATATTTGAAAATTACATATAATACATTTGATTATTAAAACATTATAAAAATGTAAGGCCTTAACTCCAGGTGCTACAGAGTTTATATATCGGCACAAACTATTAACATCGAATGAAATATTAGTCAATTTATAAATATGAAAGAAACTTAAGAAAGAAAAGGCATAAGAATGCAACACGAATGGAAGGCAAAGTTAATTTAAAAGTAATTGTCAAAATCAAAAAGCTCTCCCCACTGACCTTCCCATATTTTCAGCCAATGCCTGACCTTGCTACACTCCAGCTGATGCTGGAATCTTAGAAAATCTTAGAGCACTGGGTTGATTGAGGTTTTAGGCCCATGGAGTTCAAACCTCTTGTTACAATTCAAAGAAACTGCAGTGCAGTGAGGTGTCAATTAAAGGAAAAACTAAACCTAGAAAACCTGAGAGAAAGCCTCCTTGCCTCCCTGGTGGCACAAGGGGGTAAGTCTCAACACTGTGAAGCTGTCAGTAGCTACTGGAGCCCAAGTTCAATCCCGGCCAGGGAGGTAACTCACAGGGCACAGCAGACTGCTCCTGTCTCAGCAGTGTATTTCACTCAGCGTGTTCTGCTCCCCACTTTGTCTATGTTGAATCCTCTCATCCATGCACCTCTTGCTCCCTCCCCACCTCTGGAATACATCCCAAACCTTGTGTACATAAATAAATAAATCTTAAAAAAAGAAAACCCTAAAAAAAATAAGTAATTGCCAAAACTAACTCAGAATTACTCTGTAGTCCAGTGAGGTCCCATCTTTTTAAAGAGTGACCCTTTCTTGGTTTTACACTATGAAACATCATCAGTACTCTCAGGCTTTGTTTTCCTACCTGCAGTAAACTTCATTCATAATATCCAAGGCATCAAGCCTTCCTCTTTAACCCTGTCTCATTCCCACTCCTTATTCATTGTACTCCAATTACAGTGAAATTCTTTTGTTCCTCAAAGGCAAAGTTGCACTTGTGGTATTTTTGGCCTTGAAATTTCTTTCCCCAGATTTTCACAAGACTGGCTCCTGTGAAGTTATACCTTAGAGACTTTTTCCTCAGAGAGACCCTCTTCCTGATTATCTGCCTCACTGCCTGACAATTACTCTTTCTACATTGCTCTGCTTTATTTTTGTCATGGGAGAATGCACATAAGCATATGTGCACACACAACTGTGTGTAATGTGTACATTTATATAAGTCAGCTATATCTTACCCCTAACAATAGTCTCTGCGCCTAAAAGAGTGCTTAGCATATAGTATCCAACATATGGTTGCTAAATTAAAAGAGTCCTAACTATGAGCTTCTTTTTCACTGTGCTATGAATTTACTGATTACTTTCAGGGTATCAGAATTCATGGTTAATCATACTCCTGGGATCCCATTATGATGCGCTATTTCCCAAAGCAGGCAAATTACCCTGGACTGATCGGTTTCTTCTTATTTTGAGGGTAGACTCCAGACTCCATCAATTAACCTTATTATCCAATATTCTAACTCATATTTATAGTAATGTCAACATTACTCAAAGATAATATAAAGGAGAAAATCAACTTATTTTTACTTTAAAATGTCTTTTAAAAATAAGGGTTACAAATACCTTTAAAATATACACTGCATGGGTATATTAAATGTATTTTAATAGCATGCTCATTCCAGTAAATGAGCATGCTATTAAATATGGACTACCTTCATAGAATATTTTCAGATATCTGATGACAGTTTTTTAGAAACACACATCCTCAGTCCAGTTTAAATGACAACTTTGTTTCTTTAATTTTGAGAATATGGATTACTTAGATTATCTTAAAAAGAAAGTAACGTGCTAATTCAAAAGGGTGTTAAAGCTATAAGGGAAGTTAAAATATGATAATTTATCCTAAATGTAAATCTGATAAAATTTACCCTATGATATCTATGTACTTCTAATTCTCACTTTTTCAAAAATCAATCTCTTGTAAGATTCTTTATATTAACTATTCAAGAAGGTATTGTCTTCTAAAGTGAAAAACACTCCAAATTACCAATAAATGCAATAAGATTAGATTTTACTAGTCAGAAACTGTACTTTCATTCCCAAGTCAGTTTTAGTTATAGATTTTTTTGAATACTCACTTATATAATGCATTCCTAAATTCTGGAGTCATAAAAAGTGTCTGCAAAAGGCTATTCAAATAGCAAGTCATAGCCTGGTTTACTAATCCCACATATCCTTTAAAAAGAAAACAAAAATATACATAAGTCACTATTTACATTTTAAAAAATTGAGTAAAAATTTAATACAAAATAGGTATTGAGAGGTTAAAGTAACAGCTGAAAATTACTTCAATGATTTCAACAGCATGCAAGACTTTTTCTAATATGTATACTACATAAAACTTATTTCTAAGAAAAAATCAGGTTATTTTGTCATACACCCTGAAGTACATGGGATATAATACTTAATGAAATTTCAACAGAAACATGTTTTAACACAGTATACATTTTTATTGACATAAAAAATATCTTTGTCCCCCAAATCTGTTACGGATTAAAATGAAAAATATAAAGTGTTCTAAATATCACACACTCCCAATATTGGAAGACTGTATGAAGCCAAACATCAGGTCCTATAAACAAATTTCTACCAAGAAATAATAAGATAAATTCATTAAATGCAAATTCAGAGTAACTTCAGCTATTTTAACAAGACCATAAAAATGAGATTCTAGGAGTATAAAGCCCAAAAATTAACCTACAAACTTATGAACAACTAATCTCTGACAAAGGAGCAGAGAATATGCAATGGAACAAAGACAGTTTGTTCAAAAAATAGTACTGGGAAAACAGGATTGCTACATGCAAAAGGCTGAAGCTAGACTACTGCCTCACACTCGGCACAAAAATCAACTCAAAACTGGATTAAAGAATTAGATATAAGACCTGAAGCTATAAAATATATGTAAGAAAACATAGCAAAGCACTACATGACATACATATTGGTAACATCTTTAAAGACACATCACCTAAGCAAAGAAAATAAAGGAAAATAAACAGCTGGGATTACATCAAAGAGCAAAAGAACAAAAGAGACATTAGCCAAAAAAAAAAAAAAAAGAGAGATACCCCACTGATTGGGAGAAAAATTTTCCACACAATATTAATGATAAGGGACCAATCACAAAGATCTAGAGAGCTTTTTACAAAGCTCAACAAAAACAAAGTAAACAACCCAGTAAAAAAAAAAAATGGGCAGAAGAGCTGAGCTAAATAGACACTTCTCCAAAGAAGAAATGCAAATGGTCAACAAGCATATGAGAAAAGGTTCAACGTCACTTGTAATCAGGGAAATGTAAATAAAAACCATACAATATATACTACCTTATACCAGTGAGAATGGCATATATTTAAAAATATAGCAAAATGGCAAGGATGTGGAGAAAAAGGAACTAATCTTCACTGCTGGTGGGGATGCAAACTGTGGAATACTATATGGAGGTTCCTCAAACTGCTAAAAAATGGAGCATCAATGTGATTCGGCAATTACACACCTAGGAATCTACTCATAAGACCCAAAAACATCAATCCAAAAGAATTCTTGCACCCCTATGTTTATTGCAGCACAATTTGCAATAGATAAGCTATGGAAGCAACCTAAATGCACAAAAATGGATAACTGGGTCAAGAAGATGTGGTATGTTTACATAATGGAATATTGCTCAGCAATCAAAAAGGATTAAACTCAAGCCTTTCACGGATACATGGATGGGACTGGAAAGGATTATGCTCAGTGAAATACGTCAGAAAGAAAAAGAAAAATATCAAATGGCTCACTTATAGGAGGAACCAGACAAGGAATCAAAAAAAAAAAAAAATAACTATAATAAAGTAAAAATCAAACCATCAGGCAACTATAGATCAAAGGCATTCTATAGGAGAGGAGGAGAGAGAAGGATCAAGTCAGGAGTGGGAAGAGACTATGGTGATAGTGCACGGGTGAATTGGTGATGGGAATTTCACAGAGATATCACACATTTTTCAAAAATGAAGGATGATGTAATGAATATATTTTTTTTTAAAAAGAATGAGATTCCACAGATCAGAGTGCGATCCAGAGTGACTGACTATAAATAGTCTGGCCCTCCCTGGTGGCATAGCGCAGCGGGTTAAAGCACTGCACTAAGAAGCTTAAGCCACTTCCGCATGAGTTCGATCCCCGCCTGCCCCAGAGGCGATCCACATGGCGTGGCAGACCTCTCCTGACCCGCCCGCTGCTCCCCTCAACAGTGTACTTCGTCGATCTGCCTGTTCTGCTCCCCACTCTGTTCCTGGTGAATCCTCTCATCCTCCGCATCTCTGGCCTGTACCCCAGTTCTGTATAAATAAATAAATCTTTAAAAAGTAAATAAATAAATAGTCAAAGAAGTAGTTACTAGTCAAAGTTAAGTAGTTACTTACCTTTCACTTTGGACTAAGGCTTACTTAAGGTTTGATTCCTAATGTTTTTCATTTTTATCTTAAGAACAATGTTTATATATGTTTATATACTCCTTCAATTCCTAACCACCCTCAAACCTTGTCTACAGAATACCCTCATACCACCCTAAATCCATTATCAGAGCCTTCCACTCACTGTTCTGCAATTACCTTTTGATTTATGTTTTCCCTATCAGGCTGTGGGGCAAGGGGTAAATCTGATTTATTTCTCCATCCTACTACTTATCACATTATTAGGTGCACAGAGGAGATAAATGTATATAACTTAACAATTAACAGAGAACTATGTATCACCTCTGGCTTGGTTATTAATAATGCAAATTATTACTATCCATTCTTAGTTTATATTAACTGACTCTTCCCCACAAATAAGAGTGCATGGGCCCAGAAAACAGATTGTTTTGTACTCAGCTATGCCATCTCCTTCCTCCAGTTCTATCATAGTTAGGGACAACCACTCTATTCAGTAACTTTAAAGGTAAATAAATATTACTACTGTATCTTGTGTACCTAAAAACAAATTATGTGTCAATTCTATGTGACTTTGTCTCCCTTACCTGTACATAAAAACAAAGAGTGATGGAAGGAAGGGATTTTAAAGGGAAAAAAAAAAAATCACAGTAATTTTTGCCAATGCTCTTTATTTTACTATTAGAATTGAAAAAAAAAAAAAAAGAGAAAGCTATGGCATTCTCTATTTGCTTTAACAACATATTTATATCAGAGTAAGTAATGTCTCACTTAAGTGTACCACTATATTCTTAAAGCATTTAGATTTTAGTGAGACTAATAGAAGTGCTATGTTGTTATATATTCTCTAAGTCAACAAATTTTAAATGACAACTATTATCAAGTGTGTCTATATCTAAAATCAATATCCCAATTACAAGCCAGTAAAGGAGAATATGAGAATGTATGCCATGCTATATAGCAGGCACATGCACAAAGAAATCTTGAACAAAACCAAATAGACCAAATGAAGTAGAATGCAAAAAGGTCAACTCCTGGAGTATATGAAGTAGTTGCTGGAGAAACTGGCTGAGGATAGATAATATGGAATTAAGTAATGAATACTCTACACACATTAATTCCCAATCACTCCCGAGTTCACTTGTTACCCTTCAAAATTTACCCCCAACAACCGTCTCCTAACAACAGTGATTAGCTATCAAAGGGGTTTGAGTAAGTAAGAGACATGGAAGAATACATTTATTTCTATAAAACACTACATTATGAAGGAATGAGGTAAGATCATGAGAACATTTCCAATGGAAACATTTTGTGCACAGTGCTAAGATTTACATTAATTTCTGAAGAAAAATGCAAAAAGTCACCAACAATTTTTGAAACAGTTCCTCTGGATGCTTATAAAGTATTTAATTAGAAAGGCAGTTTCAGAGTACTGGAGAAAAATCTATGGTTAGGAAAAAGAAATGCAGTATAGACAGCTGAGGAAATATAACTGGGAATGAAGACTGGATTGTAAAATATATCAAAGATCTCTACATATTTTAATTGGAGTAAGTAAACTTCAATTTCTTCCTCTAATTTCTGGGAATTACCTAAGGAAATACTCAAGAGAGGAAAATAAAATGTATATACAAGACTGTTTGCCAACATATAAGTAATATAGTAACCATAAAAATACCTTTTCAGCTATTTAAAATTCTATATCAAAATACTACTTAATAGCACTGCAAACTGCTCTTCACATATTAAGTGGAAAATATAAATAAAATTGTGAGAACACAATCCCCCTAGCTGCTTACAAACATACGTTTGGAGAAGATGAACACAAAAATGTAAAATCCCTAAAATAGTTTCTGCTAGTAATAGTATCTTCACTTTCTTCTCCCTACAGTATAACAACTGTAAATGTAAATGTAAGTATTACATTTATGTAAATAAATGTAAATGTAACTATTACATTTATATAAATAAACTGAGAGACTTTTTTTATCAAGTCTCTCTTGATAAGCCTCTAGGAATGTATACACTGATATCAGAATCATATAGTGCACAATTTAAAAAAGGCATTCTGTAAATACTTTGTGCAAGAAGGACTGAATTGGCTGTCATAATGCAAAGCAAATAATTAAGGAATCCTGACTTAGTAAATTGAAACTTCTTCAAAGTATTCCAACCACCTCAGATTAATCTAGGGTGTACACTAAAAATAAAATAAATGTACCAGTTTACTCAAGGGTAATTAAATCAGTATTATAGGCAATAATGCCTATAATTTTTAACAAGTATCCCAAAATGATTGTTAAAAAATAAAAATCTGAAAATCACTAGATAATGTAATGAGAAACAGCTTTATTATCTATTACCTAAAACAGAAAATAATTAGATTCTCTTTTATCTTCAGTAGTTTGCTGTAAAAAGTTCTATTGATACAAATGACCTAAATGTCTAACATAACCTTTTACTGCAATTTCCAGAAAATACACATCATTAACCTTGCAAAAACTACTAGTTATCAGGAAACTATGTTTATGTGTTAATTATAGTAAATGGAAGATTATAGCTCCCATTAAAACAAAATCTACAATATAACTCTTTAGTTTTCTTTCTACTGCAAAGTTTATTGTAATATGAAGGGCTATGTAAAAATATTCAAATTATATATAAGCAATTAACATATATGTTAATAAAGAATATTTGCATGCATAAAACAATTTCACTAGCTTAATATACTGAAAATTTTTTTAAAAATCTAGATTAATCATGTTCAGAAAAAAAACCAATAGGAATTTTTAAATTCATGACTACTTACAAACAAATGCCTAACACTAAAAAGACAACACAGTAAAGTCTAATAAAACAGGCTTGACCCATCAACTTCAAAACTGAAATACCACCTATAGTCTATTCAAATCCAAAAGTAGGTAACAGAGGCATTCTTTTCTAGACAAAGTCAACTTCAAAACATGGTTAAATTAAAATGAGGAAAATATAAAAAGAAAGGCTTCCTTCAAAAGACAGTATTTTTTACTATAAAATAGTGAGGAGGGAAAAAAAACCCCAAAACAATGAGTTGAAGTCAAGGGACACCACATCCCAGTTCTAATTTTACTTCTGCTAATTTTAATGATCTTGCTCTGGGTCTCAGCATTCAAATCCATAAAATAAAATTAGGCAAAAGATGTCCAAGTTACTCTGGATTTAAGGCCTATGATTTTATGAAAAAAATAATAACAATGATGACACATCTTACCAGTTTCTGATTTATTCAAAATAGATGAATAGGAGTAGTTTTGGCTGACATAATCACTGGTAGAGCCCACAGACCCTTCTCTTGGAAGTGGACCTATAAATCTGTCATGGACATTGTCATCCCCAGCACTGGAGTCCTCCTAAAATGCAATATAACCAGTATTTAATGAACGGCAAATTGCTTAAACAGTTCTTAAAAGACGTAGTGATTGCTGAAATGAAAATAGATGAGGCACCATGATTTGTAGTCAGTGTTTCCTGTAGGAAGTCTTGAAAGTTGTCCAATACAAAAACACTTAGTAGACTTCCTGTAGGAAGTCTTGAAAGTTGTCCAATACAAAAACACTTACCTTCTCAATTTTAATTCTACTTCAAATTTTGTATAGTCGGTAGATTTTTGGGTACTAATAAATCAAATGTACCAAATGTGAACTCCCTGATAAGTCTATCATTCATTTTTATATCATTCTTGTCAAGCAGACCTGTTAAGTGGGGGATATTTGTTAAATGTTGGGATAGATGGATAGTTTCCTATAAGAAGCTCTCTATTAACGAGGAAGATGTGCAAAAGGGTTGAGGGATGTAAAAGCAGCACAAGAAATTAAGACAAGAGCAGAATATTTACTACATTTTAAAAAATAAAAAGTGAATTAGAGTTTCCCACATCAATTGCTAATTTAGATTCCAATTATGTCACTCAAACTAAGCAAAATCTTCTCGTGACATGATAAAAAATAAATGATGAGATTTATTCTGGCATTGCTCCAGTATGGATAATCTGTGTTTAAATACTGTCTATTGTTCAAAAGGCATTCTAAATTACAACAGATCTCTAAATGAAAAGTAAGTGAAAGAACTATTTTTTTCCTGAGCAAAGTTTCATTGGAAAGGAATTCTGAATAAGTCTATAAACTCCCTAAGGTTTAATTTTCTTACCCTGTAAAACAGCAAGCTAAACTAGGGCAGGCATTCTTAATCTTTCCCAACCCAGGTCCTCTACAAAACAGTCTCATCTCACATGTGTAACCCTCAGAAAAGACTTGCCTTATATAACATCTAATTAGGACAAAAGTTCTTCAATTAATACATGTCCACACCTTTAAAGTAAAAAATTTGGGCCCTCCCTGGGGTCGCAATGGGTTAGGACGCAGCACCGCAAGCTGGCCACAGATGCTTCTGCGTAAGTTTGATCTCTGGTCTCAGAGGTGACCACATGGCATGGTAGATCTCTCTTGACCTGCCCACTGCACCCTTCAGCAGTGTACTTTGTCGATCTGCCTGTTCTGCTCCCCACTCTCTTTGGTGAAGCCTCTTACCACCCCCTGCACCTCCAGTTTGTATCCCAGTTCTGTATGAATAAATAAATCTTTTAAAAAAATAAATAAAAGTAAAAAATTCTCTATGGGAAATACTCCTGAAATCAGGAGTTAACTGGATTAGGTATCTATAAGGCCAAACAGAAAAGTCTATTAAAATATGAATTGGGATAAACACCAAATCACATGATTACAATTACATAAATTACAAAATATAACTCTCCTCCTTCCTGGAAAATTAGTTCCCAATTAGTAGGAGGTGATAGCAAACAAAAATGATGAATTTAGAGGCCCCCCACTCCCCGATAGCGCAACAGGCTAAAGTACAGCACTATGAAGCTACCTGCAGGCACTGTAGCACCAGTTCGATCCCTGGCCAGGGAGGTGACCCACATGGCATGGCAGACCTCTCCTGTCTCGCTCACTGCTCCCCTCAACAGTGTATTTAAGTAGATCTGTCTGTTCTATTCTCCACTCTGTCTCTGGTGAATTCCCTCTCACACGCATTCCCCCCCCCCCAAAAAAAAACACACACCTCTGGCCTGTACTCCATTACTTGAATGCATAAATAATAGTAAATCTTGGGGGGGAAATTATGAATTTAATTTCTAAAAAGTTTACCAGCAGTATCTGAGGCTGTTCACCATCTTTATCTGTTAAATGCAGAAAGTTCTTCTTTCCTGGCTCAAAATTAGCATCAAGAAGAGACTTGTCACTGGTATGATCCAGTGGAGCCTGTGGGAATAAAATAAAATATCTTAGATTACAAGAAAAATTTGTAATGACATAATAAGTAATATATAAATGAACACCAATCTATATTTACTGGCTCAAACTGTTTTTGTTGGTCTGTTTTTAAATAAAGATCCTATCAGTATATTCTATTAATCGAGACTAAGAATTAATTCACCTATTCATGAAGTGAGATGGCTATACTGACAAGTTATTCCAGATGTTTATTTTCACATCTATAGAACTGAAGAAAAGGCAACGGTAAAGTAGTATACACAAAAAGGATTGCATATATTTGTGTTTCTATGTTTTCTAAACTGCAAACAGAGCATTTATTGGAGTTTCATGAAAAGTTACTCATACAACATTATATATGTTTTATAGTATATATACTTTATATATAGTTTATATATATGTATATAGTTTATATGGATAATTTTATATATTAATTTATATAAATGTATAGTTTATATATATATAATTTTGTTAAGTCACTTATATAGTAATTCAGTTATATAATTCTTATAACTAAGAAACATGCTTTGATATATGAATATAATGAAAATTGCCAAATAAGCAACAGAAAAAGCAATTCAACAAAAATAATTATGTAATATAACTGTGTAGCATCAGAAAGACCCTTAAAACAAACTGTCCTAATACATCTATATCAAGTCAATTCCCAGGATACAAAAGACCTGTGGGAATAGAAGCGATCACTAAATTGAAAAGTAAACACTTCAGATACTCAGTTTTTATACATTTTTTGCTATGGCAATTTCAACCCTAATTGTCAACTTGCTAACTTTAGTTGGTGGGCAGAGATGGAGTTCTGTATGATCTACAACCTATTCACCTCCACACTCCAGTCCGCTGTTGAGAAAACTGAGGGATGGGGGAAACACCCTATTCTACTGTTTTGAAACTGTTTTGTTTTTAACAGTTCAAAGCCATAGAAATGTCTCCTTATTTTATGGAAACACTTATTTCTCAGAAAATTAATTTATAAAAGTACAAATATTAAGAAAAAAATTAAGATTCTGTAACTTGCTATTTGAGTGTCCTTAAGCAAGTTACTTCATTTCCCTATGACTTGGCTTCCTCACCCACAATATGAAGCTATCATAAAGTGGTTTGAAGAATTAACATGAGACATTTATAGAGAGCCAAGTTTTAAAACAATACTAGACATATAGTGTCAGTTAGGTGTTACAGAAATAAAATTATAAACTTATATGATCTATCTCTTAATTTTGGCTCACATCTAGAAATTCATGAAAAAAAAAATGGGACATACAAAACAAAGTTAAAGCTAAGAGAAGTTGCATGGAAAGAGAAAAGATGTCTATGGAACCCTTTTAAAAACTGACAGATATATAAAGACCAAATGATAAAACCTGAATAAGTACCTGTGTGTACAAGGTAGCGGTTAGCTAAATGGAGATTTTTGAGAGATGAATGCATGCAACATTAATCATTAAGCAAGAAATGAACAGTAGCAAAAACTGTCATATGTATATATATGTACACACACACACACACAGAGAAATTGAAAAAAGAAATTAAGTGAAGAAAGAACAACAGGTAATACTGACGGAGAGATATTTTAAGCTATCATAGATGTTAACATAACAAATACTTTCTGAATGCCTGGGGGGGGAGGTAGGGAGATATAAAATTAATACTATAAAGTTGCAGTTATCAGAAGTCTTACATTTTAGCACAAATGAATAAGAACTATAATAAAGGGGACTATAAGTGACATAGCAGAGTAAAATGTGCAACAGGAGGACAAAGAAATTATCTTTAAGTGGATATATAAACATCAAATTAGGTTTCTTACTAGTAAAAATAAATTAAGTTGAATGGATATATGATAGTATAAAGCTACCCTTTAAACTGAAAGACACAACACAAGCTGTTATAGTGACATACAACAAAGTATTCAAATTTTCAGATTAAATATTGCTTTACTTTGTATACCTTGGTGGAATATCAAATTTATCCACCAATTTCAGAAGGAAAATTTGCTTTAACATTAATTTTCTATTTTTAAAAAACACAAATATATTATGGAATATGAAAAAAAGCAAACCAACCAATCACACCTTTATTCTTCTAAATCAATTAACTGATTAAATTAAAACTATACTCTCCAATATCATGTAGACACATACACTCGTTCATTTACCACTATAGGTATTTTCCTGGAAAACTTAAGAGCAATAGCAGCATAGGACAGAAAGAGGTGATAAGCAAAAATGAGAAGATGGAAAAGTGTGGGGAATATGTGTTAGGAACATTAATTAGCCTACTATCTGGAAAAAAGAATACAAAGATTCAAAGGACAAACTGTAGCTTGTTTTGAATGCTAATCCAGGGAATATGGTTTTTGATCAGGGGACAATGAGTACTCACTAAAGTTTCTGAACTTGAAAGTGACATGAGTGCTATGATTTAAGATAACTGAAAATATTTTAGTAACACTATGCAGAGTTAATATGAGTTAGGGAAAGAAACGAAAAATTTAAGACGAGTATTTTTCTAATACTACAGAATAGATTCAACTCAATAGTCTCCACTTCCCAAAGCAAAACTAATCAATATCTCCTCTTTGCACTCATACCAAATTTCTAATGCAGTCCTTAGAACATGATTGTGTATTTATTTGTTGACACATTTTATCTGTTCAACTGGACTATGAAAGCCCTAGAAGTGATGACACCATCAACCTTCCTGAACAGGGACTTTCATTATGTATGTATGGTAAGTGGTATATATCCTTTCACTTCTTTTTCCATCTATATACATTTTTTCCTTCTTTTCTAAAAAATAGGTTTTAAATTACATACAATTCCTTCTTTTTTCATTTAAAAAATAATTTTATTTAGTAAACACTGTAATATTTTCTGTAGTTGATATATGAGCTATCTTACATGAATTAAACTGATGAAATTACAGGATAAGCAGATTGTGGAATACATAACGAAGAGGGATCTAATTACCGAGTGTAAATGGAATTGCTCTAAATGTAGTTGTTAAAGTCTTGCTGATGATATTATGAAGGGTTCTAGGATTTAATATACTCATTAATAACAACATCATTATAACTATACTATTAGTATTAGCTTAGGAGAAATACTTTAAGTCTAGATTTTTACCATATCAGCAGTATTGATTCCATTGCCCCACACCAAATCAAAGGTTCCATTTATGTAGCCTACTTTGTTAGCCACATCTTCAAAGAGCTTTCTGAGTGGAGTAGAAGCTGGTAAGTTTAGAGTGATCCGTTCATTCACTGTCTTTGAGTTAGTAGTATCTTGTATTATACATAAGACTCTAGGTTCTTCAGCAGCATTTTCTATCTGAAATTTAAAATAAGATTGTTTATCTTAAAGGAAAACAAAACAACTAAAATCAGTCTTATTTCCTATGAATATTAAAAATTCCCAAAATACTATTTTCTTTGTGTTGGTCTTACTTTTTGTTAGATTGACAACACAGCTTAATGGATATGTCATAAGGTATAATATATGTTTCTTTTGGAAAAACTGGACATATTTAAGAGCAACAGTCTTACAAGTATTTGCTTTCACTTCAGATTGTAAATCTAGGTCAACAAGTCAAGAAAATAATAGACTTAAGCAACTGGTCAGTTGAAAATAACAAAACCAGATCCTTAAAAATTTTAAGTCACTGCCATGCTAGCTCAGTCAAATCAAGCATTTCTAAGTCCCTGAAGAGAGAGGAAAATGTGCAGAAATGCCATTGTAGACTGGAGTTAGAACCACAAATTCCCCTTCCTTTTCACTAAGCATACAACTAATTAGCAAGACAAAAATTTTTTAAAGGAGATTTTTTTCAGAGAAGCTATCACCCAAGCTACTGAAAGATACTATTTTCCATTTTCCACAGGGGTAGTAGGCTGTATCAGATATTCTAGTGTTTTTTTTCTTTCTTCTAAGCCAACTCAATGAAGGGTATCATGTCCATCTGCTGCTGAAACCACAGAGCTGAGTGACTGCCTCATACCTTTCCTCATAAAATCACCAAATCAATCATTTCTACCTACATGATATCTTTTGAACTATCTCCCCTTTTTATTTCTGCCTATATTGATCAGAATCTTACATGAAAATAACAGCAATAGGTTCGAGTTTTAACTTTTTCCACTATTATTTCCCTTCAATTCAGAACATGATTTTAATATATAACTCTGATTATGTAAACCTCTTGCTTTCCTTCAAAGTTAATGCATCAGTCATCTAACGGGGGACCTCTCATCATCCCATAAAATACCTTTAGAAATACACACAAACTGGTGTTACATACAAGAATTTATTTCTTTCTTCTTTTTTTATAAAAACAATATTGGCCCTAACCTTTTATTACAGCTATATATTTTTAAATAATAATAATTATTATTACTGACTAGTATTGAAGACAGGATTAAATCACCAAGTGTTTTTGCTTGTTTGGTGTAATAATATTGATTACAAACAGTGTCTGCCATACATATTTGGGATGTGTAGGAGGCTATTTAAATATAAGTTAACCCATTTATTTTAGAACAGAAACAACTTTCTATAAAAGAAGTGTAATGCTTTAAAAAGATGTCAGTACTACATTTCAAACAAATCAAAATATTTAATTACCAATAACAGCACGTTTAAAAATGAAAAGGGAAATATATTTCTATGAAATAACAGGGTCACAAAAAAGAACTCCTATTTTAATCAAACTTTATCAAAGAAAAAAAGATGTCATGTAGAATTGAAGATGTTATATTAGTACAACAGTGGATTGTCACATTTTACCCCAAATTGAGAAATATTTAAAACCGACCTTTATTAAAACGTGGGTTAACAATAAGTGTGAGCAACTCAAAATAAATTTCAACTACAAAAGAACTGCTTTTTAATTTCAATAGTATATTTCAGAGGTGGATTCATGTTATCCACATATAAAATATAAAAATGGACAGATTTTAACTACCCCCAAATAAAATCCTGTCCAATTATAAGCAAAACTTAATCTTACATATGCCTTTTTTCTATTCAATAGCAATAGCTTTCTTTTCTTTGCATCACATTAAAAATTTTTGCTTCAAAGTTTTTTTTAGAGGGCCCTCCCTGGTGGTGCAGCGGGTTAAAGATAGCACTAAGAAGCTTAAGCCACTTCCGCATGAGTTCAATTCCTGCCTGCCACGGGAGGAGATCCACATGGCGTGGCAGACCTCTCCTGACCGGCCCGCTGCTCCCCTCAGCAGTGTACTTCCTCGATCTGCCTGTTCCCCGCTCTGT